AACAAGCCTTCAACCTTTTTCTGAACTTTCTCAAAAGTATTCAGACTTAAATTTGGTAGTTATTCCTGCCCTATCATCATCCATTTCCATTCCAGCTCAAAATTACCCCACTCCTTCCACCTCAACTTATGATGACACATCGTCAGATATTTACCCCAACTTATTCAACCAGTTAGCGTGTTTACATATCCAGTCACAATCCACCAAATCGCTTCTCTTCAATGCTCGCTCACTTCGAAATAAGATGCCCACTCTTCGCTCCATGGTGTCTCTCTTTCAACCTGACTTTATCCTAGCTACAGAGACATGGTTCACAAGCGAAACTCCGCAGTCTTGCTATCACATTGATCAATATCATAGTTTTCTCGCGTGTCGAACCTCAGCACCTGGTGGCGGTTGCATCATTTACATATCAAATAACTTCCAAGCATCACTGCTGTGCGCTTCCCTTCAAGACAGCGATATTGACAGCATAATTGCACATGTTACTCTAGGTAGAACCTCGATGGTTTTGGGTTGCATTTACTCCCCTCCGAATCCCAGTACGGATGACTTACGAACATTGGAACGCTTGTTTTGCTACTTAGCAGAATTACCAGTTAAATGTAAAGTATTAGGAGGAGATTTCAATATGCCTGATATTGACTGGAGATCGTGCGCCGCACCTACTAAATATTCGAGACTGATGTCTTCTTTACATATATATGGATGGACACAACATGTCCATTCACCCACCAGGGGAAACCACACTCTCGATTTATTCCTTACACTAGGCCTATCCAACGTTTCTGCTGTTGTTCTAGACAATTTCCCTGGAAGCGATCACAAGATGGTCCAACTCACCTTCGATAAGCCATTTTCTGATCCTACCCAGACTAAACCTGCCGTCCTCTACCGACCATACAATTTGTTACACATGGAATCGCTTTCCGCCCTTCTGAGATCCTTGCACTGGGAAAATTTCTTCCTAACCAATGATCCACAAGTGGCAGCCGATGAGTTCTACAAGAACATTGAGATGTGTCTAGATGCTCTAATACCACTGAATTATTGCCGTCATTCCAAAAAAATAAAATTAGAGTCCATCCCCGAAAATTTTTCACGCAAACTTGCACGACTCCGAAATTATTACTTGAAAACAAATGACTTCTCCCTAGTATTGCTACAACAAAAGATCCTTGCTCAACTTGACAGACTTCGGCATATCAGCCTTATGGACGTAGAAAGACGGGCGCTAAATAGCATGAATAAAAACCTAGAACTCACCAAGCTGATGAAATATAGAAACAAGAATACAGAAACCCCATCCATCCTGATTTCTGGTAACCAAATAACTAACAATCCAGCTAAAATAAGCAGGGATTTCAATAATTACTTTTGTTCTACTTTTAACACCGCTGCTGCGGCTCCGTCGCACATTATCCCTCTGCTTACTGATGACAAGATCTGCACAGTTGATTTTGAACTTCGTGATATAAATCGGCTTATCACCTCTACGAAGTCATCATGGTATGCCGGACCTGATAAATTACCACCAACACTTATAAAATACGGTGGATCTGACTTCCCTGTATTACTTTTGAATCTTTTTTCTCTATCCATGAACACCGGTACCGTGCCATCACAGTGGAAGACGGCTGTAGTCATTCCTCGCTACAAGTCAGGCTCTGTGCATGAAATGAGCAACTACCGCCCAATAAGCCATACTTCTATCCTCTCAAAAATGATAGAGCGTCACATAAAGTCCAAAACTGTGGACTTCATGATGTCGCGAAATCTTATCAACACCTCACAACACGGCTTCCTAAGCACGCGATCCTGCATAACATGTCAGATAGACTTTCTCAGTCTCCTGACTACTTCGCTCGATGACGGTTCATCAGCGATAGTCATCTACCTAGATATGCACAAAGCATTTGATCGTGTCCCTCATAACCACCTCTTATCCAAACTAACTGCATATGGCATAGACAACCCTCTGCTTTCATGGTTTGATTCTTACCTAACTAATAGAACCCAGGTTGTTCAGATCGAGCACGAAACAAGCACGCCAAAGCCTGTCACCAGTGGTGTGATACAAGGTAGTGTTCTGGGACCCTTTTTATTCCTACTTTACGTAAATGATATTTTTGATGTCTTTGCTTCCGGCAAACCTTTCCTGTTTGCCGATGACATCAAAATTGTTTACACTTTTAATCCAACTGAGGTCAGTGATACGCTTAGCGAAATCCAGCGTGACTTACGTACACTAGACTCATGGAGTTCCAAATGGATGATGACATTCTCTACTGATAAATGCCACGTGGTATCCTACAGATGTGACATCACACCAGGTTCGCTAACTATAGATGGTAAACCATTGTCTCACTGCCACACCATCCGTGACCTAGGGATCCACTACTCGAGCACCCTTAACTTTTCCGAACACGCAGGACACACCGCAGCTCAAGCCCGCCGAAGCATTGGGCTTTTGTTCAAAACATTTAACTTAAAAGAATCCATTAACACCATGTATAGAATAAAAACGCGCCCGCTGCTTGAATATGGCTCCATCACCTACTGTAATTCTAGAGTGAGTGATCGTATGGCATTGGAACGTGTTCAACGGTCATTTACTAAGCGTCTTCTAGGCTATTCCACCACCCTATCTTACATGGATCGTTGCGTTGCCTTAAAACTTGATCCACTGTGGCTGCGAAGAATGAAACTTAACCTTTTCATCTTCTTTGACACAATTACCCAAAAAATACATTCTTCACGCCCATCGGTACAACGAGCAGAATTATCAAATTATCGCACCCGAAATAACAATCACAATAAAGTAAAAGTGAAAAGATCACGAACGAAACTGTCTGACAACTTTTTCCTAAATCGATACTCCATATTGTGGAACAGGCTTCCATCTGAGATACGTGCAATCCAGTCAGGGATGAAGTTCCGACACGTTATACATTCCTTTCTAAACGTCGAAACAGCGATCGGTATATTGCAACCTACCTTGACAAGTGAATCCCCATACGAAATAGGAGCAAGATGGATATAGTATCAATATCAGGGGATCTTTTTATTCTCCTGTTGCCCGATCTTACTGCCCTCCCCAAATTTATCAGTAGCAATAACGTGTTTTCTAAAGGCAAAATATCCTGATTAACAATGAAGTTCACACTCACCAAGACGGAAATGTGCCCTAGAGTTCCTCTCGAGCAAATTATTTTGCGTTTGTTCTGCAATGCTAATTATCTTCTACTTATCTTTTCCCCTGGACCCCTCCCCTAGGTACGAGCTGCTGTGTTACGTGCTCAGCGAAATCAATGTTGATTTAATCCTTCTGCTTCTGGACTGAATCCATTTGATAACACCTTCCGAAAACCTACCATGATCTTCCACGCTTACGTTCACTCTGAACAAATCCCCTCATCGAAATCAGCTTCTCCCCTTACCGCACACAGCTGAACAGTTGGAATGACGGTTAACTTACTTTACTTTGCGTACAGTCTTCTCTCCCTCCCTGAAAAATACCATGCGTACATACAACATTTCCCAGTACCATGCAAAATTATTTCGCATCACCAATTTTCCCATTTTGATCTCCGACAACTGCTGGAGCTATCTTACTATTTCCTCCGAAAATTCTTCTCCTTTTCTGTAAAAAACATGTATATTCCTGAGGTTGTCAGTTACTAGTGAAACTTGTACAATCTGAATCAAACAACGCCGGACAAAAATCTAGCATTTCACGTTGCTGTACGTCCACCCACTTTTATTTGTGCACTACCCGACTTTGTTGTACCACATGATCAGGCTCGTAGTCTGCCTGTGTCTCGCATGTCGAGAAATATATCATTTATTTATTTATTTATTTATTTATTTAACACATATGACCCAAGCCTATACACATAGTCATGTCTATGGCGCAATTGAATAGAGTGACATTTTACCACATGGAACGGTAGTGTATTCAGAACTGACCAATCTGGAATCGCGTTGAGGTCACGCTGGAGCTTCTTGTGGTCATTCGGTTCTTTGATCGCTCGCCATAACTTGATATCATCCGCGAAGAGTAGGAAATCGAAGTAATTTCCGTCGTTAGGTCGTCTAGGAAAATTAAGAATACAAGGACCCGAGCACCGAACGTTGTGGTACGCCACACTCCACCTCAATTGCGTCGGACAGGGATTCTCGTATTTTCACTTCCAGCCGACGTTCGTGCAGGAAATTGCCTATCCAACGCCGCAGTGGTTTACCAGTGTCATAGAGCTGAGGTTTATGGAGGAAAATTCGGTGCTGTAAGCGATCAAAAGCTTTTGAAAAGTCCAGGTAAATGACATCAACTCCTGCTGCATCATTAACGGGTACACTACATGAGTCATCAATAACGGATGGACATTGTTCCTGTGATCTAATAACCGGCTATTGTATTGCAAAAAGAGGTTGTGTTTTGCCTAAAGAATGAGATCAGGGTTGTAGGGGGTGGGACAAAGAAACTCACAACGCAAACGCCATTGAGGTCGGCCCTAGCCATGTCAAAAAGTGTATCCAGCCAAATGTGTTCATCAACTTACCGTCACCAACCAAGGAGCCTTCAGGCTCCAACCGTGGCTAACTTCTAAGTAAGGGCCATTATTATTCTTGACCAAGTCATCGCTTGTCCACCTCTCCTCTTCTTCCATCCGCACACCCGGCACGCAAACAACGCAAGTCGCGGGAGTCGGTGAACTGACATGCTTTACACGCGGCCCAGCCGTCGGAGATTGGTGCGTAAAGTAACAGTGCTGAGCGATTCGCTTCTTCTTCTTGCGCCGTAAGCAAGTCGTCGAACACGCTCATTGCTTGCACGGTGTTCTCACCAGATATGAGCCAAACTGCGAAGGCACCGATGCTTGAACTTATGATATCTATGTAATACTGGATGATCGAGCCTCACTGCATTGTTATCTCATCGGATGAACAAGCAAACAAACAATACTTCTGTTAACTGAAGAATTGAAAATGCAAAAAGTCATGCAAGTTTGAACGTGTATATAAGGAAAATCACGTGAAAAATTACAAAAATAGCTTGTCCAACGAGCGATCGCGTCCATTTAGCGCAGAGACCTCACAATATACGTATCAATCAGACCAGAATCTCCAGCAGCAATGACACCGCTAAAAATCACTTCGTACATCGTTGCCAAATGCTTTGTACAGTTACTAGTCGCCAACACCTCGTTCGGATATCCGGCACGTGCCACTGTTTCGGCCAATTGCACCGCTGGACCCCAGACGGCGAACACTGGCTTGATCATACCAATTACACCCGTCTTAACGGTGCCCCGGGTCACACCAAAATTTAGATGCAATTGTAATTTTTCCGGCAAGTATTGCTTGTTAATACCAGTCATTCGACGTTTGATCTCGATACCGAACTCCAACAGCTCATCTAAGTGGAACGTCTCCAACTCGTCCCAGCCAGCAGTTTGATCAAGGCCACTTGTCATCACCATTTGATCGTTGACAAATCGTACTCTATCCAACTCGCTGAATCGAGGAGTGGCAAGCAATTCGTCGAAAGCGCAGATAGCCACATTGAGTATTTTCAGCGATTCCACCCACCGCTCATGTCCCAGTGGTGTGTGAGTGGAGTACAAATTGGAGAAGTACAGTACTCCAACGGCCACATTGTGCACTGTGGTATTGAAGCGCCGTAGTGTGGCCTGAACATTGCGGCATGGTTCCCCGATCAGTTGTCTGACCATGTGCGCCGGAAGCACGTATGCCATTGTCTCACGCATTTTGCCGAAATGCAACTCCGACTCCTGACGACAGATTTGCAACTCACGCATACAAATGAAATTTAGCCGGCAGTTACGGTCGTTTATGTTCAACATTAGCCAAACCAAGACGACATTTAGGCAAGCGTCGATAATACAATCGATCATTTGCATTTCTGTGAGGCGAAGAGATAAATTGGGATTGATAATTGTGTTGTTAATCACTTTGGGCTGCACGAAATACTGGTGGACGGCAATGAAGCACACTGTGCTGAACAGGAGACCAGAAGCGCTGAGCCACTGTGGTGAGGTGGTACTTGTCATGTGGTTTACCATACCGGTCAACTGAAAGCTTACGACAGCGCTATGAAAAGTGTCCCTGTGTTCCTTGAGAGATTTGCACAAAAAAGCATAAAGCATCGTATGAATCGTTGGCATTATTATGAGTATAAACATAAACAAGTGACCGAAAAAGCTTTTGCTCAGCAATCCGAACAGGCGACGGACAGTTTGCGACCCGCCGGAGACGTTAAATCGTGTCGAGGTCCAAACTATGCTTACAGTCAGGAGAAGTGCAAAGACTGCCTCCGCAGTGTAAAGGTAGTGAAATATATGTGCTATTGTAAGGTGCTTGGTGAACAAATAGGAACAAGCAAGTAGCAAGATAGCGCTAAGCAGAAGAACCAACGCATCCAACGCCGGGGCCAGCTTCAGCGAATCGATATAAATTGGATGAGTTGGATCACGCACATGGTTAACGTAGTGCCATTCCAATTCTTTGTTAAGGAAAACATTTGTCCAATGGCCAATTGGCAAATATTGCATTAGTGTAATTTGTCGTTTAGGATCAGCCCGCAGTTCCGTGACGAGGCGGAGAACTTCTGCGTCTAGCTGATAGGGTTTACCTGATTCGGTGCTGCTGGCCTTGTCTCGATTCCATCGAGAAACCGTCGTGTCAACCATGCGTACTGGCGATTCCCTCACACCGGGTGAAATGCTGAAAACGGTTCTTCGACCAACTGCTGGTGATGTAGGGAGCGGATCTGATGCAAATTCCTGACTCAGTAACGTTGCCTGTCGCGATCGGCTTGAACGAAATTGTTCAATCAGTCGGACACAGTGCCCGAACAGGCCCAACTCTGACTTGAGTATAGTCGAATCGCTTAGCAACGAAATTACTGTGGCCGTTTGGCGAACGTGGTAGGTTTGCAGTATGGTGGATCCCATCTGACGTCTACCGTTTATTACCGTTTCCATTTGCACAACTAGCCGGCTCCCGGGGTCTACTGGATAATTCGAAAACACGTGTTCATGCGTTGTCTCGGAAATAGTCACGTAACCGGGTGGAGATGAGTCTTTCACATGATGTGCAAGAAGCAAGTCTCGACCCAGTAAGTCATAATGCACCTTTTTGCATCCCCAGACAATAACAGTGGCTGATCCCGTGTGTATTCCCGTGCGTAGTAGGACAAGCGCATTCCCTTCTAGTGTCAAGTGCTCGTTCACTCGGCTCAGCTCCAGAGCAAAATCCACACATGTCCTTGCGTGATTCAGGCGGGTTTTGATCACACCGCCTGTGTACACGTAAGAGTCTGCATACGCACTCAGGCGATTGCAATTGTACTCTTCCGCTTTCAAGTCAAAATAATCCAACATGTCAGACAATATTTGCATCAGCCGTTGCATATCGCCATTGGCACTCAACTCCCGGAAATTGACCAGTTCAACCACCACAAAAGTGACGCTTACATTAGGCTGTATATAGTACTGGCGTTTACCAAACGATGGGCGTGATTGTTCTCGGCTCCAGTATTTTTGCCAAATCGCTTGTGGCATCAGTACACGTAGCAGACTGTCTTGGATTGCTTGCGCTTTGCGAATTCGTTTTTGCAAATGTACCGCTTGACCAATGTAGATAAAAGCCGCGCGTCGTCTCACTGCATTCCAAAACTGCAAATGCATCCCGGAAGTGATGACCACCGAGCAAATGATAAATTGCAAAATCATGTCGGGAGTAACTTTCTTCAATGTGTTGCAATCGTGTTTGCTAATGAGTACATGATATAAAAGGTTGTTATCGTAGATACTCGCGTTGGTGATACCAGAGCAGTTGATGAATTGATGCTGACGATGGCTAATCGCCACGAATGCGATGGAGAACATGATGATTAGTGACAAGGTTAAATCCAGTCTAACCGGTAAGATGATACAGAGAGAGATGAGTAATTTCAAATATGGAACAATAGATGTCCACCGAACAAGAACGTTCGAGAAGTGTATAATGGCAGCTGTAAATGACATAGTGAGCAGTACGCATGAATAACGGGAATACCACAAGTGACTGTACTGATTATACGTGTACAAGTAGACGAATACCACGCTAAGCAATGCAAAAGCAAGTATGTCCATTGTCGTTACGTCGAAACGGCCAGTATTTAACGACGTAGTGAACAAGGCCCCCCAGATGGTGAAGAATAGTAACTTGAGGCCAGAACGAAAGTTCCGTCGCGTGTATTGAATGGAAACTGCATTGAGATAATTCTCGTAAACCGTGGAGTTGAAAGATAAAATAGAAGCGATGTCGGTGCATACTTGAGAAAATTTGTCCGCTAACGACAAAGTGCTCTCACTTGGTCTGGCGAAATCATTTCGCAAGCTCAAACGAAAAAGCTTGTTACGTGCCAGCCAGCCGAGATGACGCTGCATCAGGTGGATTCAATCCGTCTCGTGGCATTCGATCGATGTGACATTAGATTCGTTTGAATGTGCCGTGTGCGCCACCGTTGACCTCGCGTCACGGCTGATGTCTCCTAAGTAATATGTATCATTTCTATAACCGACATAAAAGTTGGGATACCAATACGTATGTGGAATATTTGTGTTCGATGCATGAACAACTGCTATGTGCTACCCGAGGTGTTGGGCGCAGTCAATCTAGCGTTGCCAGAACTCAGTCCGGTTGTCTGCATGGGCCAGTTAGCAGAGACGGGTCTAAAGATGTGAGTTTAGAAGACAGCGATAAAACAATGAGGGATTTTGTCAATTTACTTAGTCCACCACCGAGAGAATGCTCTCCATGTGTTGAAGTGAAAACCCAAAGTAGAGGATATCTGCATGAGAGCTCCAATGTGTATGGCCAATCTGATGAATTAATGCAGTTTATCTTTTCACGATCACCAACACCTTCAACAGTACCACTGGGCTTTGTAGGTAAAGCACCAACCAATCACCAAAAAACAGGAAAACATCGATCAGAAGAAATATCTCGGAGAAATCAGAGTTACAAGTGGCGACCGTCTTCACAAATTTATGGATGCATTCCTACCAAACAGCAGGTGCATGCAGCCGAACGGCTTTCCCGTTATCGTGAGCGGATGGAATATTATGGCACGTCCGCAACACAGCAAATCAGGTATCCACAGTACGCAATGAGAAACCATAGTCTGCACCGCCGTACACCACGTGTGAGAGTAGCTACTGACTAACGTAAATCACTGCAACAATGATGCTCCCCTTCTGATACGTATGTGAACGACAGATAAATACAGTGCACGCGATGGTAATTGTCGCTACCGAGCCACAGTATGCAACTATTTGTATTAGGCCTTCTGTATTGCCGCCTCTCATCAATATCATAACTGAGAGAACATCATGAAGCTTGAACTAATGTTTCCATGTGAGTTAAGGCACTCAGTGCTACAATATCAGCTGAGCCACAGTCAAATCGATAACGCCTGTCAGCCATATGGAAGTCACAGTCAAGCGAGGAAACCAATGTTCACCGGATTAAAACACTAATCAGAGTTGCAGATCATGTGAATGCACTAAGAGGATGTAATGACTGGTGTATCTCTGCAAGTGCAGTACGCCTAAAGCCAAAACACAACATACCCACAGACTATTAAGAACCGTGTACTCCAACAAATCATTTGGTGAAGGAAACATACAAGCGTATTCGTGCTGACTTGGTCTTTATAATAATCACTTTACAGGGATACAACAATTAGCATTGGGGGCAGGATATGATCCTGCCTTGTGGAAACCCCATTGCATTTCAGATCCAATGGGATTTCCCAGCGCAGGTTCATGAGCTGTCTTCGACACCGGTTGTTGTATCCCTGTAAGCATACTAATGGCATGCATAGAATCAGTGATAATTACTGCTACACGTCTACCATTGCACCAATAAGGTAACTGATGGGTCGACCGTTTGTAAAATTTGGATTGAATGCAGGTAGACAAGGCATCAGCAATACGGCGGAATGCAGTACCGACGCTTCGTTGCCTTTCAACCAAGACCAGACCAGGATAATGCGATTGTCACCTGGTCCCTACGCAGACTCGAACGCGAGCCCTCGGATTACAAGGCATGCTCGTGATCCTTAAGGTTAAGGGTTCAAGGCATCGAGACCAGGTTTCTTTTTAGAAGGCAGGCAGCTACATATAGAATAAATAAAGCCCTTACCCCGCTGTTGTACGACCTCAGAAAGCGAACATCAGTGTGGTCGTATTACTTATACTAACCTAGCAGGGTTCAGTTAGCGCTTAAAAGAAATGATATGTATAAAAGTCAGTGATGACACATTAAATAAAAAGAAATTACTATGTTCCTTGCCATTTCTTCGAAACGGCCAGTATCTAACGACGTAGTGAACCAAGCTCCCAGATGGTGGAGTATAGTAACTTGAGGCCAGAACGAAATGGCGAAGAGCGCCCTCTTGTCTTCGTGATTCCTCCTGTGATGTTCATTTATTCCTTGACATGCCTTGGATTGAGCGTCGACAGAGGAAGCAATACCCAGGAGAATATCGCAAGCAAACCGCCGAACAATCGATAGTCGTCTATGGTGTTCCCGGAATCTACTTCCAACAGGCCGCAGACCCAAACTCATGAATTGGAAAAGTGGCGTACATCCGCGAAGCCCATATTTCCCCATCTGATTGCGAACTCAACCTCAAGGTTACCCCAAATCACTCAACTGTGAAGGAAGTGGTCGAACGGTGCTCAGAGTCCTGGTCTACTGGAAAACAATGGTTGAAAGAGTGCTCGGACGTTTGCATGAGTTACGCATCAGACTATCATCAGAGATGCTTCTGAAGGCGGTGGAAATCAGCCCACTATTGGCTGAGGGAATCTAAAACCAGAAAGAAGTTGTCGCCAACCCAGCTTTCCCATTGCAATGAGGCTGGACCTAACCGCGGTGCGATGATTTGTATGCCTCAGCGATCCATTGAGCTATGCTGGGTGGTGCTTTTGCACCTTCAGAGTCACTCATACCAGATTGGTCAATGGTCAGTGGCCAGACAAACTCAGCCTCCTGGTCCTCCAGGTTGGGGGTTGGAATGAGGGTGGTTCCTTATTCCTTAAAACGGACTCCTTGTAGCCCAACGCCAAACCCGCTACCTTGCGGACAGGTTTTTGAACCAAAAGCTTTGGTTGAGAACCCTAATCGTTCTCCTGTCTAGGCCTGGTCAACCTGACAGTATCATGCCCACGCAATACCATGAATCTTACCTCAAACAAATTGCTGATGCTCTGGCCACCTCAGAGGATAATCAACGCTGCTCTATCTGCTGCAGCGATCAGAGTGGATAGGGGTTTGGATGCTACTGCTCAAGCCCTCCCGTCTTCTTATTCCTCCTCTTACGCTTTTTCACTCTTACCGTCCCGTTCCAACTTCATTTATTTCCCCCCAGTTTTCAACCCCCGGTTCTTGGCCCTCCCAAAACATGCTTTGCTAGGCATTTACCTTCTAATTTCATCTCACACGTGAACGCGGAGCGGCATTCCTGTCCTGTCGACAAGCCCATGTCCAACCAAGCGGCCAAGCCTAGTTCATATACTTCCATTTGGAACCCTAGATCATCCTTCAGACTGGGATGCCTCAATGTACGCAAATTGTTGCAGATCGATCAACAAGCAACACTTTCCCGAAAATTGGAGACCCTCTCGATCGATATCTTTTGCTTATCGGAGACCTGCCTGCAAGACTCGAGCTCTGTACTCACTCTGTGATCCCCTTCAGGTGACGCAAGCAGTATTTTCTCATTGCGCCTATCCGGTAACGATGCAGCTTCGAGCACCTGCCAAGCTGGTGTTCGCATTGCCCAAATCCCCGGGCTGAAGCTTCTCTGTTTGATTGGATTCCAATCAGTAGCAGGGTGTGTGCGGTCCGATTGGCTGCCTCCTTCAAAGCTTCGAAGTCGCGCGGGACTAATAGGTGTCTATTCGTCGTCGCTGCCTATGCACCCACAAACTCTAGCGATGACTCGGTAAAAGACGACTTCTATCGTCAACTGAACTAGCCCCTTCGTCACAGAAGAAGCACGGACACCGTTGTGCGGGCTGGTAATCTGAACGCACAAGTTGGAAAGTTGTCCACTGATGAAAAGCATCTGGGCGGTCAGCACGGTTTAGGCTGCCGTAATGATAACGCTGTGAAGATGCCCACTTATTTCCTGCGAGCACTAACTTTTGACACAGTACCCACCGGAGGGTGACTTGGCGCCCACCAGCCTAGAACCGGCCTTGGACGCAGATCGATCACATTGCTATCAGTTACCGTTGGAGCGGCTGCATCCAGAACTGTCGCTCGATTTGGAGCACAGGTGTTGACACCGATCATGCACTTGTATGTGCTGACATGCGGATGCGTTTTGGCGGACGCCCACGACGACGCTGTCAGCGCATTGACACCAGCCAACTAACAAAGCCAGCTGTTCTGAATGCCTATCGAACTACACTGACATGCGAGTTGAGTAAGCACTCACTGGAGACAATTGATGGTCACTGGTCACATGTTCACCAGAAATAATTAGCAGCAAACTAATCCTCATGTGGTATGTCTAATAGCCAACATGGTTATTGGGTCTCTTCGCAGTCTCTAGAACTTATCGATGCTCACCGGCATATCCCGGCTGGAAGCGAACACAATGAAACTCGTAAAGAGCTCTGGGCAAGACTTCGTGCTAGCCTGAAGAAAGACTGTGTATCCTGGTGGTCTCATCGTGCATCAGAGATAGAAATGGCCGCTGCGCTTGGAAACCATCGTAACTTATTTCAGCTATTACGGGAAAAGGGCAGCAGAAGACTTGGTGTTAGTGAAACTATACGGAATGAGAATGGACAGCCTTTCCACAATTTGTCAAAACGCTTGGAGCGTTGGGCTGAGCATTTTGAAAAGCAATTTAATCGGCTAGAATTGTTCGATTCGCCGGTCACTGATCGCCCTGCTCCGTGGGCTGTTCCTTTGGATTCACCCTCTCGTTCAGAAGTCGAACGTGAGATCGGACTGTTGCAGTTGAACAAAGCCGCAGGACCATATGATCTTCCTCCAGCCCTCTTCAATTTCGGAGGCTCTGCTCTTGTTGATGCTTTACATGAATTACTAGTGAAACTGTGGGAGCAGGAGACTGTCCCAACCGACTGGAGCCGCTCCGTTTTTGTTCCCATCTTCTAAGGGGGCTAGCGTTCGGAATGCAGTAACCATAGAGGAATCAGTCTGATCTCCATTGCCTCCAAATTACCCGCCTGCATAATCCTTCACAGACTGACTGGCGCTCGTGAAAGCCAAATTCGTGAAGAGCAAGTCAGGTTTCGTCTGGGTAATGACTGCATCGACTACATTTCCACTTTGCGTCAACCGTTGGAGCACCGTCACACATATTGGCGGCCCACCGTAGTCATGTTCCTTGACATCCAAGGTGCCTTCGATTCGGTGGATCGATATGCCCTTTGGAATTGTCTACTCAGGAAATGCGTGCCCGAGAAATATGTAAATATTAACCGAGCATTATATGCGCGTAGCACGGACAGAGTGAGGGCTTACGGCAAGCGGTCGCCACCCTTCAATATCTCTAGCGGTGTGAGACAAGGATGCCCGCTATCACCTTTCCTCTCCAACTTTGCTATGGACGAAGTCATGGTGATTGCATTTACAGGACATGACTTGGAAGGTGTGGAGCTACTCCCAGGAGAACGACTTCTTGACTTAGAGTATGCAGACGACATTGCCCTTATCTGTGACAACTCACAAACGTGCCAAGCCGCGCTGGACAGATTAGCATTGGCTGTCAGCCGCTTCGGACTTTGCTTTGCACAACTGAAATGCAAAGCATTCCTTCAAGATTGGCAGGGATCGCCTCCTGCGCTGACCCTTGGTAGGGATCAGCTAGAAGTCGTTCGGAAATTCAACTACCTGTGAAGTTGTATCAGTGCCCTTGGGATCGAAGACGAAATCACGGACCGTATAGCGAAAGCTCGGAGTGCGTTTGCTAACCTTCGCCACCTATGGCGGCAGCGCGACATTACTCTCGCCTGAAGGGTAGAGTGTACAATGCAGCGGTACGTTCGACCCTACTGTACGGTTGTGAAACCTGGCCGCTTAAAGCAGCGGACATGAAGAAACTAGTTATGTTCGACCATCGGTGCCTTCGCAGCTTGGCTCATATCTGGTGGGAACACCGCGTGAGAAACGAGCGTGTTCGACGCCTTGTTAACGGCACAGGAAAAGGAACTGAACCGCTCAGCCCCGTCATTTCATGTACCAGGCTCCGATGGCTGGGCCACGTGTTGCGCATGCCAGCCCACCGACTCCCTCGACGTGCGTTGTTTGCTCTCCGGGGATGTGGATGGAAGAAGAGGAGGGGTGGCCAAGCGATGACTTGGTCCAGAGGAATGGAGGCCCTCACTTCTGAGCTGGCCTCGGTTGGAGCGTCACGGCTCCCTGGTTGGGGTCCAAAAGACGGTGAACACGTTTGGCTGGATGCACTTGCTGATATAGCAAGGAGCCGACCTCATTGGCGTTCCTGCTGTGTGTTTCTTTGTCCCTCCCCATCCCTTTTAGCCTCCCCTCCATCTCCGATCTCATTTCGTAGCGTAACACATAATAACTTTTCTTTTTGCCTAGTAGCCGGCTGGTAGCTTACCGAAACGATGCCTATCCCTTGCTGGTAGCTCAGCTG